TTGTAAATTTATAAAAATTTAATTGATCCTCAGCTGGATCCATGATATTTTATTTATTTTTATTTTTAATTGTTATTTTTTACTGAAGTATAGTTGAATTACATGTTAGTTTCAGGTATATAGCAAAGCAACTCAGTCATACACACACACATGTTTTTTTCAAATTCTTTTCCATTATAGCTTACTATAAGAAATTGAATATAGTTCCCAGTGCTACACAGTAGATCCTTGTTGTTTATCTGTTTTATATATAGTAGTGTGTATCTGTTAATCCCAAACTCCTAATTTAACCCTCCCCTCCCTACACCTTTCTCCTTTGGTAACCATAGTTTGTTGTCTATGTCTGTGAGTCTATTTCTGGCTTATAAATAAATTTTTTTTTTTTAGATTTCACATATAAGTGATATTATATGATACTTGTCTTTATCTGACTTACTTCACTTAATATAATCTCTAGGTCTATCCATGTTGCTGCAAATGCATTGTTTCATTCTTTTTTGTGGAAGAATAATATTCCATTATATATATATACATATATATATATATATATGGAATATTTTATATATACATACACACACACCACACCTTCTTTATCCATTCCTCTGTTGTTGGACATCTGGGTTGCTTCCATGTCTTGGCTATTGTAAACAGTGCTGCTGTTTAACATTGGGGTGCATGTGTCCTTTTGAATTAGAGTTTTCTACAGATAAATGCTCAGGAGTGGGACTGCTGGATCATAGAGTAAGTCTATTTTAGCTTTTTAAGGAACCTCCATACTGTTCTCCACAGTGGCTGCACCAGTTTACATTCTCACCAACAGTGTAGGAAGGAGGGTTCCTTTTTCTCCACACACTCTCCAGCATTTATTATTTGTAAACTTTTTAATACTGACCATTCTGACTGGTGTGAGGTGATACCTCACTGAGATCCATGATATTTTAAATATCTTTGTTTATTAAAATGCTGAAGTATTACTTTTCCTTCGTTTTGACAATGGTGTATTGAGTCCTCATCACAAACCGGGCCTAGCAGTAGAAACACAAACAGGGTAAAAGTGGGGTTCCAGTCCTCATCTGCTGTTTTACCCACTCTTTCTCAAAAAATACACCCCCAGAGCGTCTCAAGACTACGCTATTAGTTCTTGGTGTTGTTATTTATAGGATTAAAGCTATGTCTCTACTTGGAAATAAGGGAGAAAGAAGATCATAAAGAAGAAGAATCTTTCTAGGATTTTGATCTCCAGTTTGAGAAACTGGCCTCAAAAATTTAAAAGTCTGTGTTACACTTGGCAAGAGATTTTAAGACTTAATGATAATAACTAACATCTAATAAGAGCTTACATTGAGCCAAGTTCAGGTTTAATTACTTCATGGGAATTATTTGATTTAATCTTTACATGGATCCTGCAGACTGAGGGCACTATCACTATGTTCATTTTCAAGATGATGAAACTGAGGTACAGAGAGGTTATGTAATTTACTGACTCTCCTAGGAATTAAAGGAACCAAAATTCAGACCCAAGCAGCCTGTCTCCAAATCCCATGCTCTTAACAACTATTCCTGCCACTGAAGAAAGATTCAAACATCATGGCACTGTACCACATTAAACAGACTGACCAATGGAACAGAATAAAAAGCCCAGAAACAGTGTCAAGTGTGCTACTAATCACAGCACACTAGAAAGTAATTACAAATAATTGGGGAAAGATGAATTATACAATAAAAGGTGCTGCCTTAATTACTGAATTATTTAGTTCCCCAAAAGTAGACCCTTACCTCACACCACTTATTAAAATTAATTTCAGTGGTTTTAAGAATTACATGGGAGTACCTGGAACCAAGGTGATGGATACGACTCCCTTTCCTCATTACTTCTTGGTAAAATGATCCAACTAACTCAATTGAGAACATTCTTGGCCACTTAACTACCACCTCACCCACAAAGCTGAACCCTGGAGGACAGTCAGCAGGAAGCGGTTTAGGAAAGAGCGTAGTGACTGGCGAGTAGCCAGTCCCTAGAACATCAGTAATAAAACTCCTGCCAATCATCAGTTATCGTGACCCAGACACCCTACTAAGTGCCCTAAGCTATTATCAAACTTCAATATTATTATACACAGGAGTAAACTGGTGCCCAGGAGGTTAAACAAGACGCCCAGTGTTAAACAGCTAATAAGTAGCCAAGCCAGGATTGGAACACAATGGCTATAAAACTCAAGCTTAAACTCTTATGAATCACTCCGTACATACAGAGGGGCCAAGTCCACCAGGGTCCCCTCTTCACAGCCTGTGGACAGCTTTTGGATTAGAGCAGAGGCTGGAGGCAAGACCAGTGCTGGAGAAAGACCTATCCCGGAGCTTCTCCCTGGAAGCCAGGCCGGGCAGCTATGCAGGGGGAAGGGAAACTACTCCAGTAGGCTCAGAGCTGCCAAAGCGACACAAAAGAAGACTGTTCTGCAACAAAGGGGAACTCTGCCCTGCAGCTGTCTCCCACTGCCTACAGCTCCATCCCAACCCTACGCAAACTATCAGAACTCTAAGCTGCTGATGAGAAGTTACAATCAGCTAACTTTTCCCCTATTTTTGCCTGTAATGAAAAGAACTCAACAATGACCTATACAGCCTCTGACAAAGCTGATTTCAGTCACCAATACTGAACAAACTAGACCTCGTTTGGCAGATGAGCAAACAGAGAAGCTAGCCAACTAGAGAGACTAGGACGTTTAAGAGACATGGAATACTCTAAACAGTCTGGGTAACTGCAAGGAACAAGACAGCTTGACAAATTTTGGATTTTACATTCTCAGTGAGATTCAAAAGGACTGAATCACTGATACAAACGTTACTACAATGAAAGGGGAAAAAAGAGCAACAGGAAACAGTGTTTGAAGGTAAAAGTGAAACTGGTGGCCCAAAGAACAGAAGCAGCGAAATGCAGACTGGTGCCTGCAGAAGACCACACTGGTGCCTGAAAGGATGTGCTCAGTGAGAGCTCCTGGAACTCACAGGAAAACGGTGAAAAACTGAAAATCATCAGTGAAAAGACAGCACCTGAATAACTCAGACCCGGAAGATCAGGTCTGTGTATAACAGGAATTTCAGAAAGAGAAAATGAAACAGAAGGGAGAAATAATAATTAAATAAAGGAGAAGTATTAAGTAAATAATGGGGGAGGGACAACTTAAAATGAGCTTTTCAGACTAAAGTTATTCACTAAGAATTAATCATCAAAGATCCATGCCCAAATTTCTAAATGTCACGGAGGAAAAAAATCCGATAAAGTCTAAACCTCCACCAAGGTTAAAAATTACAATAAAAAAAGGAGTATGAATGAGACAGACATCGGACTTCTCAGCTACCATGCAGACTGCCAAAAGACAACAGAGTAAGGATTCCAGAACTCTGAAGGGAAAAAAAAGGTGGCCTCAGAATTCTAAATGTAGTTAAACTATCAATATTGTAATTATCATTATGATAAAGCAGAAGAAATATATTAGTAAACTTAAAAGAACCCCAAAATATACTACACCTATCTTTTCAGGGAAAAATAATCTTAAGGAAGGGAATATATACAAATCAATTGAAAAAACTAGAAGATACACAGAAGTGTAGACACAGAGCAGGATAAAAGAAATACCAGTGAGAAATTAAGCTAACGAAACTTGAGTGGTCTAAATTATGTATGCTAGAGACAGGGTATAGCTCAGCGGTAGAGTGCGTGCTTAGTTCAATCCCCAGTACCTCCATAATAAATAAATAAACTTAATTACCTCTCCCTGCTCCCCCCTCCATAAAAAAACTAATACAACATTGTAAATCAACTATACTTAAAAAAAAAGTTCAATTATGTATGCTAATGGTGTTGAAATCATGATAGAAATATACAGCAAGGATGCTTGAAGGAGAAAAATGTTTTAAAAAAATAGTATGGACAAACATTTCTAATTATTTCAGCAAAATTCATGGGCGAGGGTAAGGAAGGAAGGAAAGAACATGCTGAAGTGAATAGTTTGGGAGAATCCACGAAGATTGCTCTAACGATGAGTAAGTACACATTTTAAATGCACCCACAATTAGAACAAGAATTGGACACATAACACCCAAGTCGCCAGGAGAACTGTTTTTCTTCTTTAAAAGAAAACTTGATAAACAAAGCAAGACAAAACACACAAAGTGGGTGAAAGAGCAAATTATCATTCACCTTCCTGGGTTATTTAATGAGGCAACGTGCGTAGAAAGTGCCAGGCATTTAACAGTTGCTCCAAAGTATTATATAAAGAAAGAAAGAACATTGTAGGCACTGTGGTAAATCAAACACTTAAAAACAATTAAAAAAAAAAGAGGAAACTTTACCAGTTTAAAATATCAAAAAATTCATTAAAAAAATATTTTTTAAGTCTCATGATGAACTGGCAAAAAAATAAAGGAAACCCTCAGAGGTAAAAAAAAATCTAATAAAGTGTACATAATCTTTGACCCAGAAATTCCATTTGTAGAAATTTATTCTCCATTCAAATGTGGTAAAAGAAATTATACTTGGGAAATATGAATAAATTCAAGAGAGTGTTCTCAGTTTGAAATAATCTGGGCTGCAAATAACAGAATACACAACCAAAGTGATTTAAACAAAAAGGGTCTGATTTAAACAAAAAGACTAAAAGGTAGGTAGGTTCAGGTTGATTCAGTATCTCAAATACAACTTTAATGGCCAAGGCTCCATCTTTCTCCCTATCACCTTCAGTGTGCTGGGGACATCATGGTAGGCGAATATAGGGTTTATAAGACTTTTTTTGTTTTTTTAGAGGAGGTACTGGGGATTGAACCCAGGACCTCATGCATGCTAAGCATGTGCTCTACCACTGAGTTATTACCCTCGCCCCTCAAAAGACGGTATACATGAAATGATCTTAACTATCCTGAAATCAGAAGAAAACAGGAGTTAAAAGAAATCTGTTAATAGTGGTTGCTCCAAGATAGTGAGATCATGGGTGGTTTCTTACCTCCTGCTTCACAGACTTTTTTGTACTTTCCATATTTTTTATCAGAATGTAATACGTATAGAAACTGAAAAAAGAAAAAAATACATGTGTCAAAGAACTAAAAGAGAAGTGCTACTGAACAAAGGGGCTTAATTCCCCTTGGCCATAATGACATAGGTATTCTCTCCTTGTTTTCCAGTTCCAGTTCTTTCAAATTGATGGGTTATACGGAAGAATTTTCTAATTCTCCACCACATGCACAGTAGTTCTGTACAAAAAGTAAGCTCGTAATATTGTTGTTAGTGATTATCCTCTATGTAGAGTGTAACACTTGTACAGAAGGTAACAGTTCCTCTTCACAAGCCTTTATTTCATGACTATTGAATAAATACAGGAAAATAAAAATAGATAAATAGAGCATTTTGCAGTGAGGAATTTGAAACTCCATCATTTGAGAGCCTTTCCCAAAATCACATTAAATTGGGAAACTTAAATACAATTAACTCCAAAAGCATTCTTTTTTCATGTATCATATTTCATAAAGATTTTATTAAAATAAAGTCATGGTTAATACTGCATCAGTTTCCTAGGGGCTCAAATTTTTTTAGATATCTAATTAATACCAGTAACCATCTGTGCTCCTAAATCTACTGTGGACAAAATGAATGCTGAGACACAAAAGCAGGTCAGGGGAAGCCTACGTGGCCCATTTGGTGTGCTTCAGTGACCTTCTTTGGTTAACCTTCCTCGCAGGGTGAGGTGGTCACGAGAGCCTGAGGGGCTTCCCGGTGTGGAGTACCACTTAATCCGCTAACTTCATTAGTATCTTTCAAGACTGCTCCTCCTTGGCTTAAAACTAAAAAACTGGATCTCATTCATTTCCAAACTGAAGGACACATGAGACATAATCTCATCAAACCTCTCATTTCATACACAAGGAAACTGCCAAGACACAGTTTAAAACCATCAAAATAGATCACTGTTATAAACAGAAACGTTCCACTGAGCACACAAAGATGTCTTCCCAAAAGGTCTAAACCCTGCAAGAATTTATCCTGCTGCTCAATCTTTAGTTATGAGTCTATTTTAAAAATGCTGGTCAATCAGTGTCTAAGGTCCTTTTTAGATATTACAAAGAATATTGCATTCGGTTAAGCATGACGTGCAAAGTAAAGCATCTCAGTGCCCTTTCTCTGTGGTGCATCCAGTTAGGTCATACTGCCTCCTCTTCTCCATCCACAGGAATGGGAACTAATCTCTGCCTTTTTGGTCATTGTTATCTTTGGAAATGTGACCCAAGGTATCAAAGAGGAAGGTGTAAACACCAAATTGCCAAAAAAATTCACTAAAATAAAATTTTGTTAGATTGGTTTCATTTTGTTTCAGGCCCTGCCACATTCATCATATAAATTATGAAATGCAATAAACTTCATATACAGAATTAAACTATCAACATTTCATTGTCCATCAACATTAATGGTTTGAGCCGTTGGCGGAGAAAGAGGAAGGAGCTATTTAATGAGCCCTGCCCGGTAGAAGATGCTTCCTGTAATTCTGTGCACACTGCCTGGTATGATCCTGACCCCCATTATACAGAGAAGGAAACTGAGGCTGGGGGAGGATAACTTGTTCGAGCCACACGGAAAACAGGAAGGGAAGCTGGAGTTTGAAACTGGCCAGTCTCACTCCAACCTGACCGGTGTCTTCCCTCCACTGTGCAAATGCTACAAGTACTTGTGAAGAAAGAAAAGATCTGGGCCTTACTGTTGAAGAATTGATGTTCTAAAGACAAACTCGGGTCTCATTCCCTCACTTATTCAAGAGTTTGAGATTTTCAACTGACATTCTAGAATATTCTTTCCCCTTCAGCATCTGTCCTCACTCAGGTCCTCCCTGCGAGGCGAGGCCACTGGTGTGGCAGCAGGCCTGGCATGGCTGGGCCACCCAAACAGGACTAGGAATTCACTATAACTTCTCAGCCTGACTTATCCATAACTCTCTGAACAATGTATGATAACATGAAAACAATCAAGCAGAAGGAACTCTCTGGAGGGCTAAGCATTAAATGCTACATCAGGTGAAAATTCCCTCCACTGATCTCAGTTTCCTTTTCGAAGTTCTGGCTGCACTGCGTCCCTGCCCTGTCAGCATTCTGCCCTCAGCCAGGGCTGGCCGCACTCTGGGCTGGCTAATCTTGGCTGAATTCCACATGATTTTAGTTGGTCTCAGTAATATTTTTGCTTAGCTCTCAAGTCCAGAGATACTTATTCTATAAATGACTGCCATTTTTTGTACTGAACTTTTGAAACCCTCCAAATTGAGGAGTATTTTAACTGACTTGTATTGAGGACAGGTGCCAAATGTTGCCTTGGGTGGGCTGAAACAATTTTGCTTTGTATATTGTAAATTTGGGGTTTTTTTCTTTTTAAGAATTTTTACTTTTAAGATAAACAGATATATTGTTTCTTTTATTACATAATTAGAGCTAAAAGATGTACGTTGGTTCTCTCTTTAAAACAAGATTAGGCTCAAGTAACTCAAGATTAATGGGGTGGGTATATCTCAGGGGTAGAGCACATGCTTAGCATCTATGAGGACCTGGGTTCAATGCCCAGTCCTCCATTAAAAAAAATAAAAATAAAAAGACTGTTTAAAGAAAATAAATAAATTTAAAAAGAGAAAGTCAAAATTAAACTCAAGAATTTTGTACCCCAAACACTTACACAAACAAATTCATACACATGCACTCTTAGGGGAGGAAACCAACCACCTAGTATTCTAGGAGTGAATGTGTCTAGAGTGCTATTCATTCAGAACATGCTTGACCAGAAACTGCTAAGTCAAGTCTGCATTATGAAAGTATATCTATATATACAGTATTCATTGTACTACATCCGCCATTCTATACAAGGGACTTGAGTATCTGCAGATTCTGGTATCTGTGGGGGCTCCTGGAACCAATCCCCCAAGGATATTAAGGGACAACTGTATGTTAAGAACCCAACCACCTTTCATTACCTCTGCCACCAACATCCTGGCCAAAGCCATCACCACCTCTCCTACTGCGATGGAGTCCCCAGCATCTGCCTCAGTCACCTCCATGCTGCAACTAGTAGCTCTCATACAACAGTCAGGTGGTACTATTAAAACAGGTTAAGTCTCATCCTTTCTCTGCTCAAAACTCTGCAGCGGCTCCCATTTTACCAGAGCAAAAGCCAATATCTTCATAGTGGTCTACAAAGCAACCTTTCCCCCTGTGACAGTCCCTGGCCTCACCTGCTAGCACTCTCCTCCCAGCTACAACACCAAGGATGCTCCTACCTTAGGACCTTTGCACCAACTGTTCCCTCTGCCAAAAAGACTTATGCCCAGGCGGCCCCATGGCTAACCCCCTCATCCTTCCAACTTGATTCAAATACCGCCTTCTCAGTGAGGACTATCCTGGCCATTCCTTTTTAAAAAGTGGAAACATCACCTCCCTCTCAACCCACACCCACATTCCCAGACCTTTTACTCTGCTCTGTGTTTTTTTCCACAGTGCTTATCACTTTCTAACACTCTTTACTTACCTATTATGACTATTGTTTATTTTTCCCCATAAGAACATTAAGTTCCATAGTGGCAGGGATCTTTGTTTTGTTTTTTAATATTATCCCCTGCCTAGAATAGTGCCTGATACAATCAGGAACTCAACTAACATTTGTTGAACACAGGCTGAATTAAAGTAAAACAAGCAGAGTGAAAGCATCTTCTGCAGTCATATCAGGATCCCAGCACACAGGACTCCTGCCCCTCCCAGTGACGAATGGAGCCAGGAAAAGCAAATTAGGAGTCACAAAAGTGCAAGAGGGATGGCTCACACCACACTTCTTGGGAACAGAACTATAAATAATCAGGCAAATCCTGAGACATAGCACTAGGGTATCTCAGATGAAATCTGAACTCTTGCTTTTAGCAAATTCATTCTATCAGAACCCAGCAGTAATCCATCTACAACTAGCCCAAGAAAAGTGTGTGCCTGGAGTAGCCTCTGATTAAATGAATCAATTTCACTATATATTGGTTTCTCCTAACCTGATCCTTTCTCTAATCCTTCATCCTTTATTACATTATCCCAAAACAGGGTTCAATCACTTCAAAGACGGCTCTTGAAAGGAGTATGAGGTGACAGTGAGAGCACAGTCATTTAATTACGTCTCTCCATTCTGCTCCTTTATTTCAAAAGTGAGGTGGAGGTGGCAGCGGTGTGAAGAAATCACTTCAAGAAATTAAAAAAGGGTTCACCCCTTTAAAAAGAGCTGCCTATAAAACGGTCTGTCGTAGAAAGCCAGAAATGACCACAAGATTGGGAGGACAGGAACCACAGAATATCCAGAGGGCGTGAGAAAAAGCTAGAAATAAAGTAGCTTCCGAGTGCTGGCGGGATGTGTGTTCTGGCCAGCGGCGTGCTGGAGGGATGAGCGAGTTGCGGATGAACTATGATGAGGCCGAAGGTTAAAACACAAACAGTTGTTGAGAGGCGACCGTGTGAAAAACACAAAAAATACCAGCATCTACAACCCAGGAAAGTCACAGGTGACTAATGAAAAGTCGGTGCAGAAATTGGAGCTTGAATTAACTCACTCAATCCTCATAAGGACCCCTAAGGATTGGGGGCTATAATCATCCCATTTTAGAGATGAGAAAAGTAAGGCAGGTGAGCTTCCATCATGCGTCACTCCCTGCCCCTTCTCCGGACCAGACTCCCTCTCATCCTTCAACCATGGCTCTCACACTGTCTGTTCCTATGGTTTGCCCAGGACTGCCCTGGTTTGTCTGCTGTCCTGGACTACACAGTAACAACCTTTTGTTTTCTTTTTTCAATTGTAGGAAAAAACACATAACATAAAATTTACCATCTTAACCATTTTTAAGTGTACCTTCACTTTGAAAAGTGTTGCAGTTTGGATTACTTGATTACCCTTCTCGACTTTAATCTCTACTGTAACTGTTGACTTACCTGCCTCCCTGACGGATCCGTGAGCTTTAGGAGAATGGAACGGTATGTCCTGCATTTTTATGCACGCAGTCCAGCACACTACCAGGCATACTGTT